TCCTTGGCCGTCCTGAGAATCAAGGCGGAACGGCTAGAGAGGAACGAGGCCGACAAGCTCAAAGAAATCAGGATCCACTACCAGGAGTCCGACTCCGGCCGTTCGAGGCGGGAGAGTAGGAATGAGAGGAAGCGACCGCTACCCACCGGTCCATGCGGTCGGTGTGACCAAATAGGCCACTTCGCTAAAGACTGCAAGTACGTGAGGTCACGGTGTAGCAAGTGTGGTCTCAAGGGACACGCGTCAACTGCGTGCCGAACACGTATGCTCTCCGACGGCATTAGCCACGGCAGCAAGCTTGTGGAAACGGCGGGCGCCATCAATGTGTCTATCAAGAAACCGCGAACTACGAAGGAGCGGTACGACACCATCAAAGGCACAGTGAACGCCTTGGAAAGGAAGTACGTGGATAAGGCGGCGAAACTCAAGAGTAGGCGAGAGGCCTCCAAGGCCAGGAGCCAACGCTCACGAGTGGGTGCAGCCGTGGTTGAGGACGATGTCACGAGCGACAACCAGTCGGACGACTCCAGCAACCAGCTGGCCGAGCAAAGCGTAAACGTTGGCATAACCGAACACGCCCCTACCACTACCAAGCACAAGTTGCAACCTCGCCTTCACATGGTACACGCGTTCATTAACAACCACAAAATTGGGTGCTTTCCAGACACCGGTGCTGAACGGTCAGTGATATCAGCGGAAGTAGCTGACAAGCTCAACCTTGTCTCAACCGAGCAATGCGTCTCGCTCAAAGGAGTGTCTGACACACCCCTGCGCGCTAGGATAACAGAACCAGTTGTCGTAAGCGTAGGAGGAAGGTCGTGCAGCACGTCCCTCGTTGTCGTGCAGCCGAGAGTGCCGACGCTGCTAGGCGTGGATGTGCTAGTGAAGACTGGCTTGTTAGAGGTGGATGAGGCAGGCATGAGACTGAACATACCAGCGCTGTACACCGAAGTCGAACCGCCCAAGCAGGTGCGAAAGGACGTCGTATCTGGCGTTGACGAGACTAAGTCCGACGAAGAACTGCTGCGCGGCGCGAGACAAGAGGTACAGACGCAGGCACAGCATCTCAGCGGAGACGACTTCGAGCAACTCTGGTCAGTCCTCCAAACCTACTCAGACGTGTTCCTCAGACCTAGGAGTGGCCAGGTTGAGTACCAGGCCCGCTTCGAAGTCGAAGGGCGACCTCACAAGGCAAGACTACGTCCACTACCACCCACCGCCGAAGCCGAGTTAAAGAGACAAGTGGAGAGCCAGCTAGACAAGGGGGTCATAAGGCCTAGCAAGTCACAGTGGGCTGCTTGCCCTTTTGTTATACCAAAGAAAACCGGTGATTACAGGGTGGTGATTGACTATCGTGTCCTGAACAGCAGAATGAAGGACGATGCCTTTCCCATTCCTCTGCTATGGCATAGTCTTCAAAAGTCTGCGGGGTACACACATTATATAACACTCGACTGTAATTGGGGCTTCTGGAACGTCCCAATACACGAGGAGTCAAAACACCTAACGGCGTTCACAACACCCTGGGGCCTGTATGAGTTCAACGTAATACCATTCGGTATAAAGAAC